TGTAAGCATACATTTTTTCATTGGAAACAGCTATATTATTATTAGTTTTACAAACACTTTAAATAAGAAAGCTTTGGTGATATAAGGTTCAACATTTGCCCTTTACAATGCCTTTATTTAGAGTTAAATTTCATTTTTACTTATTTTCGAATAGGGATACTAATGAGGCCAAGGCGAGAAAAAAGTTTCTGTACAGCCTGGATGAGAATTACGTTACTGAAATAAGGCAAAGTGAATTCAAATGACAGAGTAAAGACGTCTTTTTTATAGTGGGTAGATCAAAGAACAGGTCCTGAATCATCTATATAAGCAATAGTGGCCAGCACCCTCATAGGTTGGCGAAAAATGAGTTTGATACTTAAATAAATCAAGAAATTACTGATGTTACGATCTTTACTATATGATATTACAGGGCAAGCCCAGGTAAATTATAGTGGAAAAGATTTTTAAAAATTCCTAGGAAAAGGATGAAAATTTTTTGATTTAAGTCTTGGGTTAAACGCAATAAAAGCTTCTATTAAAAAGCCTAGAGTGACTCTAGCCCAAAATGGTAAAAAATGGTAGAATCCAGAGTATCCTCTAAAAAGATAACATCAAACTCATCTAAACTTCGAAAAATAAAACGATGCCAAGACATAAACACACATAAGCGGAGAAATAGCAAAAGTAATGGCATACCTCGTTTTCCCTACTAAGCACAAATTTGAGTACCACATGACGTAGGTAACGAAAATTGATTGGATCCACAAGCTGATGAGCTCCCTCCAAAAAGCCATTTTCTTGACTCAGACCGTAATTACTCGCCATCGGCCGATCGAAACAAGATGGCGCCATCGCAACGACAGTCTCGCTCCTGGCCTTTTTTTTCGTGCTGTACGCAGGCCCAGTTTTGCTAGGTTTGCAATCATCAAAGCGGAAAGCCACTTCAGAGTCTCTAATCAATATGGGATTAGTGCCAGTAGTGGGCATTGGAAGAGTAGAAACTGAATTGAGGAATTCGAGCTTCGAGGGCAAAGAATTGGTGGATCCGGGATTATATTGATGTTCGGAAGTTAGAGGCG